AACAAATGTTTTACTCAAATAGGTTATCATTTTCTTAGCATGCCGGGTAAGCTAAGATTTGGAATCCAGACAGAAAAAGCAAAACTTATACAGAGTTAAGACATCACTTAAATTGAATACGGACGGCTCTAATAAATAAGGTGCAACACCAACGATAACTAATTTGTAAACTACAGTGATGTGTTGGTACCTACGTAAAAATGATTCTAGCAGCTACCAACGGTTCTAAGGAAAAGAACCAGTACACCTACGTAAGAACCTACCTAAGAACTATAGTACATCCGACCAATTAAATACATTAATATCTAGTCCCGAGGTTATTGATCTCTTGCTTTTGGATTTTCTCGTAAAAAGTTATAGCGTAAACTTATCGGTGTCAGTTTGAAAAAAAAACAACCTTACCCAAACAACTTTTTGTTATTTAATAGATTACGCAATCTCTAAACAATGATTAGTATATCTATTAACATTAGAAGGAAATGTGACGAAAATCACACAATGTTGGGGTTTTGGTCATTTGTAATTATATTTCTTAAGTAGGTAGGCCATGTATTCTATGGAAAAGTACCGGTATCAAGGATCGTCGTCAAAAGGTTGTTATGAATAAATATGTAGGCTTACGTACCCAAGATATGAGCTATGGGCCTATTGGCTGTATGGTCCCTGGTCCAGCGATTGCATCACACGGTGAGTAGAAATAGAAAGTGACACATTGGAAAAGCGAGTTTAGCACTTCCTCTGTTAAACCTCTGTTACAATCACCCACTGCAGTTGTGATTTTTTACTTTACACTTTACACAACCGCCATTGAAGCGCCGTCAATGAGTGTAAACCTTTTTTTTTTTTGTAAGCTATTGGCGACGATCATTTCAGTGTCCAGCCCTATACAACACTGATTCAAGGTCTTCTTTCTGGTTGTCAAAACTCAAGAAACATTTTATACTCAAAGAATTTCTGGTTCCGATTTGGACGATGTCTAGTTATTTAATTTCATTTACGGTTACACTATTAGACTATATTATTGCACTTGACTACTATTATGACACTATTATTGACTATATTAATTAAATCCGTTATGTAAGAAAAACGTTTTTAATCTCACTTGGTTGGGATTTGCTTTCAAAACGTGATTCGAAATGGTTGCGGTATTTGTAAACAACATTTGTAAACATATCATTGACAGCTAGAAAAAATAATCTTGATCCGTACAGCTGTTCGTTATTTCATAGACGATTATGTGATAAAAATTGAACGAAAATTTGACAAAAATCGCACAAAACTGCATTTTTGAACGTCCGTAATTTTATTTACAAAGTAGTGAGGCTATATTTAAATCACTAAAGACACTCTCGCCAATCCAGTGAATACATTAAAATGACTTGGATCTTGATAGGTACTCTGGTTTTCACGGAGAAGATTGCGTAAAATGCCATCTTGAGTGTTACAGACAAAGGGAATAGTCCAGCATCTATAGGGGGTTGAGTATGCACTGAAAGTGTAACTCTTTTTGACTTTTGATTGTTGTTAGGGGCATCTTGGAGATGACAAAAACCGATGTTGTCGCCCTCCCAGCAGGTGGACAACTTGGGGGGGAGTTGGGAAGGTGCTCTGAGACGCGTTCTAGAAAATCGCTTATATCTCGTGAACTAGACACGATAGAAACAAGCTCTAAACGGCATTGTATTACCAACTTCATCTGCTTTAAAAAAAGTATCCAGGAAAAGTCCAGTATTAATGATATTAGTTGAGTTATTTAACAATTTATTTAAAATTTTGAATAAAAACCCCAAAAAACGTTAAATTATCCATTAAAACCCCTTTAAAACAACACAAAGTACAGTTTTTCATCGTGCATTATATGTTTTACACGCTAAAGTGACTTTATATGGTAATTATATCGAAATATTACAAGGTTATGCGAGGTTTCCGATGAAGCGGCACGGTGACGCGGGTGACGCCGCTGCGCGGCAGAAATCAGCGTGTAGTACAGACCTGTAAAAATTGGGTATGTACCGAAAGTGTAACGCATTTTGACTTTTGATTGTTGTTGGGGGCACCTTGGAGATGACAAAAACCGATGTTGTCGCCATTCCATCAGGTACACAACTTGGTGGGAGGAGGTGGAAGTAGCGCTGAGGCGCGTTCTAGAACATCGCTCATATCTCGTGAACTAGACACGATAGAAACATGTTTTATTAAACGGCATTGTATTATAAACCGCATCTGCTTTAAATATTATACTTACTTACTTACTTACTGCCGTGGCTCTTGGTACCCAAGGTGGTACTTTGCCTCGCCAACACACTGCCTCCAGATTTTTCTATCCATTGCCTCATCTTCCCTTCTTCCCAGTCTTCTTAGATTTCTAACCTGGTCTCGCCATCTCAACTTGGGCCTTCCTGGTGGTCTTCTGCCCTCCGGATTGTTCAAAAGGACGTTCTTGACTAAGGAGTCGTCCTCTTTCCTTAGTAGATGGCCAGCCCATCTCATTCTCCTACCTCTCACCTCGGCCACTATGTCTGGGTCCATATATAATTGCCTCAACTCTGCATTGTGTTTTATCCTCCACTCTCCATCTTCAAAGGTTGGACCATATATTTTTCTCAATATTTTGTTCTCAAATACTATCAAACGTTTTTCTGTTTTTTTACTTAACACCCAATTTTCTGAGCCGTATAACAGAACTGGTCTTATAATAGTTTTATATATACGCTTTAAATATTATACAATGAAAAATCCCAAATCAATGATAAAAATTGAGTTATTTAACATTTTATTTGAAATTACAAATTTAAAGTCAAAATACCGTTTATCTACCTATAAAACTCTCATAAAACAATGAATAGTACTGTGTTTGGAGTGCATTCTATGTTAAACACACGAATTACAAAAAATTAAGTGTACTGTACTTTCCTTAAAATATTATGTACGGAGTTCTCGGGTTAGCGAGAAAATAATTATAAGCTGTTTTTAACACTAGGCTATTTTAAATATAAAATTTAAACAAAAATCTAGGTACAACTACCAAAGAAAATGCTTAAGTTTGAAATGTATACAGTTTTTATTAAAATAATATTAAAATAGACTTGGAAATGCTGTACTTCATTTTAAAACTTACTACCATATAAACTACACATAAGAAAACAATGGATACTATTTCAGTCATCTTGTTTGAAACGGTCTTAATGATAAGGATTTTTACAGTTATTAAATCATTTGCAGTAGGAGCTGCAGGATTAAGAAGAAAAGGATGCACCTGCAATGACAGCCGCTATATAGCAATCACAACTAATCCATCTGCCGTCAAGGACATTAAAAAAAATGCCTTGCACACCGGACAGCTTCAAATTACACCTGTTACGGTGTAGTGCCCAACTATAATTTTGAAAAAAGTCCTTGACAGCAGAAATAGAGCCTTTAGATCTATTCCAGTACGGATTTTTCAAAAACAGCTCAGGAAAATTGCGCCCCCTTCCTATGACACTGCCCCCGGCTCCTACAAATTTGCTAAAGTCATGTAAATGCAAGACTTGTTCTAGATCAACTTGTAGCTGCTTTTCAAACAAGTCATCCTGCAGATCCTACTGCAAATGTTTTAAAAATTGTAGAAATCCTTATCATTAAGACCGTTTCAAACAAGATGGCTGAAATAGTATCCATTGTTTTCTTATGTGTAGTTTATATGGTAGTTAAGTTTTAAAATGAAGTACAGCATTTCCAAGTCTATTTTAATATTCTTTTAATAAAGATTTTTGTTAAAATTTTATATTTAAAATAGCCTAGTGTTAAAAACAGCTTATAATTATTTTCTCGCTAACCCGAGAACTCCGTACATAATATTTTAAAGAAAGTACAGTACACTTAATTTTTTGTAATTCGTGTGTTGAACATAGAATGCAATCCAAACACAGTACTATTCATTGTTTTATGAGAGTTATATAGGTAGATAAACGGTATTTTGACTTTAAATTTGTAATTTCAAATAAAATGTTAAATAACTCAATTTTTGTCATTGATTTGGGATTTTTCATTGTATAATATTTAAAGCAGATGCGGTTTATAATACAATGCCGTTTGATAAAACATGTTTCTATCGTGTCTAGTTCACGAGATATGAGCGATGTTCTAGAACGCGCCTCAGCGCTACTTCCCCCCCTCCCACCAAGTTGTGCACCTGATGGAATGGCGACAACATTGGAAACCTCGCATAACCTTGTAATATTTCGATATAATTACCATATAAAGTCACTTTAGCGTGTAAAACATATAATGCACGATGAAAAACTGTACTTTGTGTTGTTTTAAAGGGGTTTTAATGGATAATTTAACGTTTTTTGGGGTTTTTATTCAAAATTTTAAATAAATTGTTAAATAACTCAACTAATATCATTAATACTGGACTTTTCCTGGATACTTTTTTTAAAGCAGATGAAGTTGGTAATACAATGCCGTTTAGAGCTTGTTTCTATCGTGTCTAGTTCACGAGATATAAGCGATTTTCTAGAACGCGTCTCAGAGCACCTTCCCCCCCTCCCCCCCAAGTTGTGCACCTGCTGGGAGGGCGACAACATCAGTTTTTGTCATCTCCAAGATGCCCCCAACAACAATCAAAAGTCAAAAAGAGTTACACTTTCAGTGCATACTCAACCCCCTATAGATGCTGGGCTAGAAAGACAGACAGACAGACAGACAGACAGAAATAGAGATAAGACTCGTTTCTGCTTCTTTAATGTATAAAACGTAAAAAAAACCTAAAAGTATATAATTCTGAGCAAAGTACAGACAAAACTCTAATTTTATCTAGATGTAACCTTAAATATGTTCCTGAACAAGAGGTATTGATTACTAAAACATTACTTAAAAATAGGCTTTACCTTTGCCAATACAGGTCAAAAATTATAACTATTGTTGCAGCTGTTTTGGTATCACAATCGAACACCAGCACACTTTTTGTATTTGAATAGTTTGAAATGAAATTGAACTTTTTTCCCTTGTTTCAGTTCACCGGAGATCCAGGGTTCACCCGGAGAGATCTGTTCCACTGGGCCTTGTGTATCCCAGCCTCATGTTCTCCGGAGGACTTGGAGCAGTCATTGAACATTTCCCTAGAGATGGCTCTCCACAGGAATGGTCTGCGAGGACGTGTCACGGTGGATCCCCTCTACTGCCACAAGGCTGGGGAGGTGGAGGTGCCAGCATCCGGGGGATATTTCACCATCAGGTACTGTGAACAGGTCAGGGTAGAGGACCTGCAGATAGAGAGGTTTTTTAAGTTTTTGTAGGTACCAACATGCACATCCTAGGACGCTAGGTTCCAGCCCCGAACCTTTTTACACATTACTTCAGAAGAAATGGGGAAAGTAAATTAAATTTTGTCTAATAACACTTAAAACGTATGTTAAATATAAGATGGTAAATATTCTGTACCAAAAAAGATGGTACCCAAAAGTAACCCTTACATACAATACACACTACTATTACAAAGAAATTAATGGTAGAATTAACTATTTTTATTTAAATAATGAAAAAATATTACCATTCCAAATATTATGTAAATATGCAAATAAAATATTGCTTGAATGCAGTAAGTGTTAGAACAATTTAATAAAGAACATTTACCCAAAAGTAATTAGCAAAACAGTAAGAAGTACTTGAATTTTAAATGTACTCACAGCATTTGAGATGACAACTGTAAAATTGATTGTTAAGTGTAGAGTTGTGGTAGAGGTATGGATCATTAATCACTACAACCTGTGGCTACTCGTCTTCCTACCATTAGTTGAGGTATCATTAATATTGTATTATTAATTCATTAATCCTCTTAAACTTGAATTTCAGTCACAACATAAAATAAAATGTTAAGTTTAATTTGTATATTATTGAAATAGGTATTATTATGATTTGAAAATCAAACATTATTGAATAGTATTTTATTCCCCAAGAAAAATTATAAGTCAAATGAATGATTTTTAGCGAATTTCCCCATAGGGAAGTAGCTATTACCATAGGTCTCATGGTAAGACCTAGGCCCGGGACCGATTTACTTTTTCATTTTGATGTTCCCAGAGGTCAAAAACACCATTCGTTCAAATTTTTATATATCTATATATAGATATATATATATATATATATATATATGTCCATCCGCACGATAACTTGAGTAATTTTTGTCCGATTTTGATAAAATTTGGTTTGAAGGTGTAAGGCGGGATAAACTTGAATGAGTTCGCGAACCAGCATGATCGGACTATGGGAACGGGGGTTTATGGGGAGTTTTATGGGGTAAAAATAGGTTTTTCCCATTTTTTACCCTAAAAACACATAATTTCAAAATTTCTTTCTAAACTTTTTTGTAGAGCTTAAAAAAACAAACAATTTAGTATATTGGGTTTCCCATTGTTGACTGTAAAAACTTAAAATTTAGCAATTTCTTTCCAAAACCATTTTGTAGAGCTTAAAAGAATAAATAATTTAGTGTATTGAAGCGTCATTTTGCGCCTAATTGTTACAGAGAAAATTAAAAAAAAATGTAATTTTAAAATTCCCATGTTATTCTTACGGAGAATAAGTCAACTGTTGTAGTTTGCATGTTTATGAACATATTTTGATCAAATTTGGAAAAATGCATTCATTTCATACTATAATTCTAACATTTTACAAACACACACCTTTTTACCCTCCCTGTTGCAGCAAACCTAAGTACTCGTTAAACTAATGTTATTTAAATAGGGAATAAATGTGACATTTTTAAGGAGACATTTTAGTGTAAATCCAATCAGGCAAATGGAAATTCGCTTAGTCTGCAGGTTTGCTGCGGTGGGGGTATTTTATCTAACTTTTAGTTTCATTCTTAGCTTTTGTCATAAGTGTAAACTATTGAAAACAGTATAATCAATATCTAATTTGTAACTAATTTCAGTTCTGTATTAGACTAATATTTCACAGAAATATTCCTCATAAAATATGACGTGGGTCCATTATTCAAAATTGTACAATATTTATTTACTAGTTAGGCCTACATAGGTTAACTGCTTGTACAATTTTTTTTTCAAAGAATCTTTGAATAAAATTTGATTGTTACTCTCAATGATCTTTGCCAAAGAAACTATCATAACATATTTGACTGTTTCGATGTAGGAAATGTCCTTAGCTCCTTAGTAGGGAGCTTCCTTTAACTATTGAGTGAAAAAATCCTTAATTGAAAAATACATCACCAAAACAAGAAATACATAAATTGACTGGAATAGGGTAGCAGTCATTCAAGAAAACGAGAATCCCACAATTACAAAGTTCCACAAAATTGGAAACATCCTTCTAATTCCCTGAATTGCTCAAAGAGCTGATACAATACTCATTTCTGCATACATTGGCTGAGGCTTATAATTTAAGTCAATCAGTTATGTGCTCTAGCCCTAATAGCTAGTGGAATTGATCTTATCTTTGGTATTTTCAAGGCCTCTTCCTCTTTGAGGGTCAAGGTTTATTATAAGTAAATTGAGTATGTGAATGAAGACGTTCTCTTCATATGCCACTCAACATGGAATTTTTTCCTGACCACACTCAATAAACCATTGTGAAAGAAGCTGTGGTTTTGTAGTCTCTACTTATAATCTCTTGAATCCTAATCCATAGGATTATTAAGTAGAGAACAAGAATTAAAATTTGAATTGTATGATTTCAAAGGTCAATATTTTGTTTTAGCACCACTGGCATTTTTTAGTTTTTGCAAGTAATCCATATCCTGGTCCATGTTACATTTTGTTAGACACCATTAATAATTTTGTTAGAGCCGAATGAGGAATGAGCCGAATGTTAGTATCGAATGAGAAATCTCCAGATTTTAAGGTACCAACCACTCGACTACTCATAAATCTTTCTCTCGCAATTCCGTCAATTCTGATCCATTCATCAAATGATCAAAATTATAATTTTATGATTTAAGCTTCAATATTTACATCAGAATGATACGCTTGTTGCAGGATGGTGCTACTTATGTGTGTGTTGATCTCAATCATTGCCACAGTGTATGACTACGTAATGCCTTATGTCAGAGATCAAAAGTTTGAGTCCCATTTAGCAGGTGAGTGATGAACAAAATGCTATCTTTAAGCTTGAAATATAAATACATTATTGCAAGTTGCTGATAATTTTGTTGAAGTTAGTATACAGTTTGCTTACCACAATAAAACCGAAACCTATAAAGACATAACAAGTTTCATATTTTTTAAAGACATTGGAAAAATGAAGTTGGCAGCCTCGTTCATCTTTGCAATTTGTCCTTTTTATATAGGTCTGCAGCGTGTGCATGAAGTATGTTAAGGAAAGCAAGGGGTCAATACATTGCAAGAATTAACTAAGCTATAGTAGTCCATTGTGTTATCACCAGAGCCAACAATGTGCCAAATCGTTTTTGTTAAAATGTTGCCCTCATGTAGAAACTGGCTGGGTAGCTGAGTGGTTATAGTACTCGCCTAGTAATCAAAAGGCCGCCGGTTCGATCCTGAGAAAAGTCAGTAGCTTTTTGATGGTTCGAAACTGGACCCAGCTGTTCCTGATCATTGGGCTTTAAATAAATGATCCTGACTAATGAAACCGCTGATCTTAGTCAGTAACAAAGCTACACAGGTCATCACTCATCCTTCACTTATATTTGGGTTAAAATACGCACCTAGGTGGCATCCCCATCTCAATGATTGATAATTGATAATTGATAACCTCTTAAATTAACAATGGAACACATTATTCTTTATTCAGCCAACTAAAACTGATTAAAATTAAATTGTCAATAATATTATCTATATAACAACAAAACCATGTAATTTAAATGACTTTAAGTGACTGAAAACAAGAAATGAAGGCACACTGGAAGCACTTTTTAGCTAGAAACAACTCTGATACAGCATCCTGGGTCTAATATGTTTTTGATTTGACAGGTAATAGCATTAAAGTGTTAAACCCAAAGTTTGGTATGAGCCACAGCACAGCTTATTTTCATTTAATTTATTTAACTTAACTTTCCAGGTATGTCTGAGAAGATGCTTTTAGCCTTTTCCATCAGAAAGAACATGAACGAGTTGACTGAGAAGGGTGCAGACCCGAGACTAGACATCATCAATGGTGGCAAGGTGATAAGTATTGCTGCCATATTGTTTGGACATCGAGCTCTGTATTCTCACGGTCTAGCACTGCAATATCACGAGGACTGGGAATGGGTAAGTTAGTATCATAAGTTCGATGGGCTTTAGAAATTTACTTGATATATATTCTGCCTGCAATGTTCATTCCAGTAAAATAAATTATTGTGTTCAAAATATTTAAGGAGTGTTTATTAATAATTTTGCTGCATTTGTTTTAGAAACTTGAACATGATTTTTCAACCAATGCTTTAATGAACGCCACTCATTTGGTAGATGTTTTCTTCTTGGCATCTGGATTCCTTGCCTTTTTAGGCATTTACAATCACCTTGATAAGAAGAAGTCAATCAACTTCCTATTGATTATCTTTCTCCGCTGGGTCAGGTAAGAAGCGTGTGATGCTTGAGTTTACAGATAGCTAAAATCAAATAGTAGTAAGATAAAGTCAGGGTTAATACCACAAAGAGATTTATAATTATTATAATCCTCCTGTTCATCACCCAAAGGCAGGTCTGCACAAGCAGCATTTCCGAATATTTGACTAGTGGCGAGCTACTTGTGTAGGGGGGACACACTTTCATCCCTTTCCAAACAGTCTGTTTGTTGTTTAGATGTGGGGAAATGGCCAATAGGGGTAAATGACATTTACTGAGTGTAACCACCCATCAGCAATAGTTGTGATTTGACTAGTTGTGTTGTTCTAGCTATGCTTGGCTTGTGTTGAATGCTACATATAATGGAGCAGACTTTATCCTAGAGTAGCAAGTACTTGTGGAATTAAATTAAAGAAGGTGATGTTAAATAAAACTCATCACAAATTATGCCTTTTTTGCATGAAGGCAATACTCATATAATTTTAATAAACGGTATCAGCATTCTGACACATACTTACTCCCATAGTTTGTCAACAACCTTTATCATGGGTAAGCGGTAAGACCCATTTTTTTTGCTCAGCACTTTTCATGACGAATTCTTCCCAACAGCTTTGAATTATTTACGTTTTTAAGTTCCTTATGTTTCACCGTTGCATAAACCAAAAACAATTAACAAGATTTTCTGTGTAAAAATTTAGTGAAGAGTGTTTCAATCTGAAAACTGTGTTGCCCAGAACCATTGGTCATCAAGCGACATGGATGACCGATGTGAAATCTATCCAAGCTGCTGTGCCAAAGACTAATTAAGAAAACCTAGAAATAGTTACTGACAGCAACGGTTAACAAAATCTATTGTTGACATTTCAGGATAGTCCCGCCCTATCTCGTGATGATGGGGATCATGGGCTGGATTTTACCCACAATGTCTGAAGGTCCACTTTGGGACAAGAGAGTAGGACTGGAGGCTCAGAGATGTCAAGACAACTGGTGGGTCAATCTACTCTTCATCAACAACTACTACCACGCTGACAATCAGGTACTGTATGGATCAAACATTGCAGTGTTAACTACAAGATATAGGGTATACCATGAGCGTATTTCTAAATCTTTCAGAGTGATAGTTGAGCATAGATTTTAATTTTTTAACCTTTCATTACAAAAATGGTGCTGCAACACAATCGTAAAGCTTATGGATTAGGTATACAGCTGGGAGTTGAGTGGTTATAGTTCTCGCAGAGTAATCAGAAAGACGCTATTTTGATCTTGAGAAAAGTCAATAGTCTGTTGATTGCAAATAGACCCAGGCATCCTTGATTATTTGGTATTAAATGGTACTCTGCCAGCAAAGTAATGGTCAGGAGATGACCTGTATGTGGTAGAGCTGGTGGGAGAGGCCCACCTAAATTAAATTGTGGAGGGCTTAGGTGGTAGTTGACGGGATATGCAGATTTGAACTGGCAGGCAATTGATGGGAAAATATGGTCAAATAGGAAAGCATGAATGAATAAAATATCAATGAGACTCAAGAGGTTTCATAAGCAAGAATTTGGATTATTTGTTTAAGTATTTAAAGAAAAATGTTTTCTTTCAGTGCTTGCTTCTCTCATGGTACTTGGCCTGTGATATGCAGTTCTTCATCATCGGCATGTTTGCAACATACATTCTATGGAAGTGGCCAAAGCTTGGTTACGTAGTGTTTGGTGTTCTATTGACTGTATCCATTGCAGTTCCTTTCTATGCTACATATGCGGGCAAATACTATGGCATACTCAGGCTGTATGCAAGCAGGTTAGCATTTTTTAGGTTTGAAATTGTTATTAGTTGAAGTTTGGATTAAATATTTGGGGTGAAAGCAGTGTAAAAATGAATATACATTTTCTGAACGCCAACCAATACTTGGTGTAATGAAATAATTCTGTTTATGCAAGACAGTTTTCTTGTATGTCAGAAAGTATATTAATGCTACATTGTAACTATAACAAAAAATAGTCAGCTAGATTTTAAGAAAATACTTTAAAAAAGTACGGGAAGGTTTTAAATTACCCCCAAAAAAATTATTATGCCTTTTTGTTGAGAAAATTCTTTTCAAGGGAAAGAAAGCACTGAGTTAGCTGGTCTAGGGGTAGAGTGCAGGACTTCAGGCCCTGAGGACCTGGGTTCAAATCCTGCCAATCACCAATAGATTTTATCTAAGTGATAATATTGCAGTCCTCTATGCTTAGCTTAGGAATGTTAAAAACGATACTGGGGTAGAGCCAAGGACAAAATACCCCCGCCGCAGCAAACCTGCAGACTAAGCGAATTTCCATATGTCTGATTGGATTTACACTAAAATGTCTACTTAAAAATTTAACATTTATTTCCTATTTAAATAGAATTATTTTAACAGGTACTTAGGTTTGCTGCATCAGGGAGGGTAAAACTTTTTTTGTAAAATGTTAATAGTTAGTAAGAAATAAAAACATTTTCCAAATTTGATCAAAATATGTTCATAAACAAGCAAACTACAACAGTTTACTCATTCTCCATAAGAATAACATGGGAATTTAAAATTTACATTTTTTTGGAATTTTCTCCGTAACCATTAGGCGCATAGTAACACTTCAATATACGAAATTATTTGTTTTTTTAAGCTCTACAAAATGGTTTGAAAAGATTTTGCAAAATTTAACTTTTTTTGGGTCAAAAATGGGAAAAACCTATTTTTACCCCATAAAACCCCCCGTAAACCCCCGTTCCCATAGTCCGATCATGCTGGTTCGCGAACTCGTTCGAGTTTATCCCGCCTTACACCTTCAAACCAAATTTTATCAAAATCGGACAAAAATTACTCAAGTTATCGTGCGGATGGACACATATATATATATATATATATCTCTATATATAGATATATAAAAATTTAACGAATGGTGTTTTTGGCCTCTGGGGACATCAAAATGAAAAAGTAAATCGGTCCCGGGCCTAGGTCTTACCATGAGACCTACGGTAATAGCTACTTCCCTATAGGGAAATTCGCTAAAAGGGGGAGTCTTAGTTATTTTAACCTATTAAGACAAGTTTTGTGTTACAGTTTGCTGGTTAATCCTTTCAAAAACGACCATTTCATCAACATTTACGTCAAGAGTCACAATCGAGCTGGGCCTTACATCATCGGAGCTCTCACTGGATACCTGTGCATCAAACTGTCTAAAGCTAACTACAAGTTCTCTAAGGTACTACAGTTTTGAGTTTTGGTTACACATCAATGCTTTTAACTTTAACTTAAGTCAAATAAGACCAGCTTTGGATTATTGTCCGTTAAGTTTGGCTTGGTTTTAAAGTAAGTGTCTATGACAGAAATCATAAAGTGACAATAGGACATTCCACTAGTGGTTCCATTCAACTCAGGCACGCGGTTTGCATGTGAAGCGCTATGAGCCCCAGATGTGGCCCATAGCGACTTGAAGGTGAACAAGGCGGAGTCTGGGGCCCCATGCTTTTCAGGGACCACGCACAGCGTAGGCTATCTCAGATATCTCTAGGGCTGCCACTGATGAGCCAAAGAGATAATTGCGCCCCCTCCCTCCTTCTGTTCAGGGGAGTCTTTCTCTTCCTTGTGCCCCCAACAAACCTAAAACCCCTATTTAAAACTTAGGCCCTGATTCTACTAACTTCATTGTAATTCTAATACTGGCTAAAACTTTAATACGGGTATAAATATCATGTTTACTCTTCATTGTCAAAGCTTGTACTATAGTTAATGTATTCTTATATTCCAGAGGACGATCTTGCTGGGATTCATCGTGTTGTTTGGAGGAGGCTACACACACCAGTTCTATGGGTTCTTGTTCTACCAGAGGGATAGACCTTACAACGGTTATGAGAACGCTTTCTATGCAGCGTTCCATAGGATAACGTTCAGTATAGGGGTTGCATGGGCTGCTTTAACTTACTACACCACAGGGTTTGGTATGTGTCTTGTCTCTTTTACTTTTCACAATGGTTAATTAGTAGATTCTTACATTCATGATATAGTTTGACATATATTTTGTTTGGGGTACAAAGGATCAAATGTTTTTACAAATTTGTGCAGCCTCTAGTGTGATACCGCACTCTTGCCAGACAGTTTGACTGAAAAATCTCCCTTTTACTGTTGTACACAGAACTGGAATTGTTTTTTACAGATTACTTTAAGTACCGTAATGACTTGATTATTTATGTTGATACAGGATACAGGATACAGGTCCCACTAATCCCAACTGAACGGGATTGGACCTTGACGACCCTGTTCTGATTACCAAATTGTTTGAATTAGCCAGAAGTGCACTGAAATTGCATCATAAACAAATTACCCTAACTTGTACTTTAATGACTGTAAACTGTCATAAATTTTTCTCCTACTCATGACTACACGATGAATCCTAGAAGATAAAAAAAGGACACACAGTTAATGAATGGATTCTCAGTCATAATTGGAGATTATTCCTAATTTCTTGGTTTTATAAAAAATTCATCAAAGTTTGTGTACGATTCCCAGTTTTCCTAGTTGGCTGGACACCCTATAGCTATTTCAGATCATATACCTTTGATTTAATTCTTACAACGTAATCTTTTATACCATACCGACGTTTTGAATTAGCCGGGCATTAGGATTAACATTATGTCTAGATTAGTTATAGTGGTTGCCTTCAATTCTCAAGGTCGCTGGTTCGATTCCAAGCGAGATCCAGATGCCAGACCCATCAGATGTCATATCTAACAAAAAGATGCTACTATGATGCTATCTAACAGAAAGTTTGATGTTAGATAGTAACAAGACAAGTGTTAAGACCATTCCCTTTCAAAAAGTATAATCATTGGCGTAAAAAAAACACAAGATAAAATTATTTTTTTAAATTGGGTAATCCTTACCAAGACTCGGTGATTCGGGTGTGTGAGTCAAACGAATTTGAACAAGAGTGTAGTGTTAATTGTTATATTTTATTTATAACACACAAACTTGCACTGACCAAAACCTCTATCTTCCAGGACTATTCAAGGTGTTGTTGGCTCAGCAGATATACACTCCTCTGTGTCGTCTTGTATACTGCGTGGTTCTGATACACCCTGTACTGCAACTTGCTGAGGCAGCTTCTGTGAGACACTCCGAGTTCATGAACTACCCCAAGATGGTAAGACACGGAAGTGTTTCAGTGGAAACCGTTGTTTAATTCTGAAGTTTGGTTTATGCATAGTTTACTTTGCTGACTTCTTCTTAAGAAAGATGGGCAATTTACAGTCTGATTACAGTCTGTAATACATACAATACCCTTAATAATTTTGGAAAACCGTCTAACTAAGAATGTTGAATTTTTATTCAAGAGGTTTTTATTTCTGAAGGTTTCTTTTAACCTTGCATTTGCCTATCTGCAGGTCTTAAGACCTGTGTGTTGATGTATCGCTCGTAAAGCAAGGGGTGAGCCGGGATAGTACATGAATGAACTTAATATACTGATAAATTTTACTCACAACACTACTCAGTGGCGCTACCAAATTAGCTATAGACTTACTGATTGATTACCCTTTCAACTGTCTAATTACAGAACCTACAAGAGGGATACTAAAAAAAAAATCTATTTGTTAGCTATTTTAGGTCTGGCAGCTAAAACTCAGCTTGGCTTTTAGACTCTGGACATTTTAGATCAGTTACTTTCTAAAAAAGATTAATGTGTGTCCAAAAATACTACATACCTTACCTATTAAAATAGAAACAGAGGAACTATATTCAATGTGAGGTATTGTTTAACCATTATCATAGAACTCTTTATAGCTAAATTTCCTTGACATCAAACAAATATTTTAAATACTTTTGAACATGTTGAATCATTTATTGGCACAAAAATTAAAAATAATTATTGATGGATCAATTTTGTTCATTTAACTTGTAAAAATCTTATTTTATCATCCCCTTGAGAATCTACAACTTGTTAAGTTGGTAGCACGGCAGACTACAAATTCACGGCAGTGACATCATGGGTCCAAGTCTCAGTCCCACTACAAATACCTATATCAGTACAGTTGATTCTTATACCGTACTGACTCACCCCTTGCTTTGCTTCCTACATCCACAGACTAGCCTGGGGCCAAGTTCACAGGCTAAAAGCAGTTTAAAAGAGACAGTTAACCTAAAAATTCCTAATATTAAGGTTCATTTGAATCATCCCTGATAGTGTTTTATGTACAACACCAGTGTTACCAGCTTAATGGTTTGTTGTTCAGTTCTGGATGGCTTGCGGAGACTATCTGACAGCAACGCTTCTAGCATTACCTCTCTACCTCATGGTCGAAGCTCCCTTCCGAACAATTCTCAAGTTGATGTTCATGACTAAGAAAGCATCCCCAGCGATCAAGCAAAGGTAAGAGTGAGATCATTAAATATGTGGATCAGGTCTTGTAGTTGTCTGTTCTCTTGAACTGGGCTGATTATTAACATATCTTAAGCAGAATTTGAATGTAGTGTGAGTGTAAAATGAAGATAACCTAGGTCGTGTGTAGATGATAGATAACCTGTGGAATTTTTTTTACTGATTAAGATCACCATTTCTTTTGGCAGGACCATTTAAGAGTTTTTATAAACCAAAGACGGTTGTACCACTGTACCGGTGGTAAAGAAAGTTTACAGTAAAGCTGGGTTTTCCCATGCGCAAAAGTGGAGCATGGAGGGCAGTGGTAATTTAATGGTACTATTCCTTGAAGGGGAGCGGACCGCCACTGGACAAATGGAAAATCGCTTCTCCGCACTACTCTCTTCGCATAGGAAAACCCAGCTTTACAAGTGTTACTATTTATTGTTTGTAGTAACAACATAAACAAAAATTACATTTGCTGTATCCACTCCTAGATTATCTTAAGAACTAATATAATGGTTTAAATACCTTTCAGTCTCCAGTTCAAAAATAGGTCGATTTCTGCGACCCAGGTTTCAGCAAGAAGTTGCCCTATCATCAGGCTTTCCAGTTCAAAGTGTTCAGTCCATTGGACGTAATTTAAATAAAACTAACACAATTAACATGTGACAAACACGGATACGAACAAATAAACATTTACCGATCGGTATTTAAAAAAGAAAGACAAATACATTTTGTAAGTTTTCACCAGCTGCGACAGGTGACATCCAAGCCACAACTAGTTCTGTAGTTTTTGTGGTCTACCTGACCTTTGTCCTCGGTAATGTCTTGACCCTTGTCCAATAGGGATGCCTCAGTGTCACTTGTTTAGATTATTTTGTTAAAAGTTAAATTGGAGCTGTGGTGGATTTGGTCATTTAATAGGTTCCTAACCAGTTCAGGGGCAACTCCACATGTCATATTATGTTAAATACCCCCGTTGCAGCAAACCTGCATACTAAGCGAATTTCCATTCACCCGGCTTGATTTCTACTGAATTAAAATATTCCCTATAAATTTTCAGATTTATTTCCTATTTAAATAAAATTAATTTTAGTGAGTAGTTAGGTTTGCTGCTACGGGAAAGATGTTGAGGTGTGTTTTTTCAATTGAAATATTGATAGCTTAGTATGAAATAAGCCAAATTGCCAAATTTGATTGAAATATATCCATAAACAAGCAAACTAGAACAGTTGATTTATTCTCCATAAGAATAACATGGGAATTTAAAATTTACAATTTCTTTAATTTTCTCCGTAGTCAATGAACATTAAAAAAAACTTCAATATACTAAATTATTTGTTTTTTTAAGCTCTTCAAAATGGTCTAGAGAGAAATTTAGAAATTTAAAGTTTTTAGGGTCAAAAATGAGAAAAACCCATTTTTACCCCATAAAACGCCCCATAAACCCCTGATCCCATGGTCCGATTATGCTGGTTCGCAAACTCGTTCGAATAAATGTAGGTTTACACGTTTGTACCAAATTTCATCAAAATCGGATCAATTTTGCTCGAGTTATCGCGCTAACGGACACATATATACTCGGCTGGGCCAGAATTCCTATTTATTGAGATCAGTTTGCCTGGAGCAGATGCGCTGTTACTAGGAGTGTGCTACCGCCCACCAAGATCGGGGCATCTGCTTGATTTTGAAAATGCTCTGCTTAACGAGATGTTCAAATACAGTCATGTTTTGATCATGGGTGATTTTAACACTGACTTACTATCGTTGACTCATAACTTTGAACACAGACAGCTGACTACCATGTTTGAATCGTGCAACTTAACTGTACTACCACTCGATCCCACACATCATGTTGCCAATTCTGACACCCTCTTAGATTTAATAGTTGTGTCCAATGACCACGATATCATTCATCATGGGCAGCTTCCAATCCCTGCAATATCTAAACATGACCTCATTTTCTGTGTGTACTCAATCAAATCTCCCAAGCCCAAAGCAAAGTTTATTAAATATCGGGATTTTAAAAATATGAATGTCGCTCAGTTCATGTTAGATGTTCAACAAACTCCGTGGCACTTCATTGAAAATTTAAATTCTGTCGATGAAATGGTTCATGAGCTAAATTCATCCATATTGAATCTCTTTGACAAGCATGCTCCCATCGTTTCAAAACGTGTGACAAAACGAAGACCTGTTCCGTGGATGACCCCTGAAATTAAAAGTCTGATGGCTCAACGTGATAGCTTATTTAGAAAGGCTAGACGCTCCAGCAATTTAGAACTAAAACAACAATATCGGAATCATCGTAATCGAGTTAAACAGCTTCTACGAAATTCAAAACTCAGATACATTCAGAAACTTTTTGAAAATCAAAAGCAACCATCAAGTGTTTTATGGCGCAAGGTTAAAAGTCTTGGGCTAGGGAAACAATTTGATTCTCAACCGGTACACATTCCTCTAAATGAATTAAACGTTTACTTTTCTTCTTGCAGTCAAAATACCAACCAGCATCAAGTTGACAGTTACTTAAATGAACTAGTTAACTCTCCAACCCCACACCTGAGATATGCTGAGTTTAATTTTAAACCAGTTATTCAGTCCGATGTTTTGATGGCTATCCGCAGAATCCGAAGCAATGCTGTCGGTTCTGATGGTATCCCTATTCGTTTCATCAAAGACATCCTCTATGCCATCCTTCCAACTATCACGTTCATTTTTAATGCATCTTTAAGGCACCATTCTTTCCCTTCTTCTTGGAAGTCTGCCATTATCCGTCCCCTAAAAAAGATCTCAGCCCCAACCTTGGTTGGGGATTTCAGGCCGATAAGTATTTTGCCCGCTCTATCTAAAGGCCTAGAAAGAATCGTTCACTGTCAAATCACTGAATTCATCACAGAAAACAACATTTTATCTGACTATCAATCTGGTTTTAGGACAGCACACAGTACAGAGACAGCACTCCTTCGAGTGACTGAAGACATAAAACTTGCTATGGAGCGTCGACAAGGAACGATTCTAACTCTATTTGATTTTTCTAAAGCATTTGACTGTGTTAATCATGACCTGCTGGTTCAGAAATTACGGGCCATAGGGTTTTCCCAGAATTCTCTTAAATGGCTGAGATCTTATCTGTCAGATAGGCAGCAATGTGTGGAGATTGGTGACACGAGATCAGACTGGGTGACTGTTACATGCGGTGTGCCTCAAGGGTCAATCCTTGGGCCTCTGATCTTCGTACTGTACGTCAATGACATAAACTCGACCTTGGTCAACTGTAAACACCACATGTACGCTGACGACTTACAAATCTATGACCATTTTACTGCAAACAACGAAAACGACTGTGTCAGAAGGATCAATGAAGATGTCAACCGAATTGTTACTTGGACTGAGAATCATGGACTGAGACTAAATCACGAAAAGACGAAACCGATTGTCATTAGCCATTCTCGACTTCGACCTTCAATTGACTTAGACTCCATAAACCCAATCACAGTTAATGGCAAAGCACTTCCATACTACGACAATGTCAAGAATCTTGGTATATCTTTCAACTCTTCACTTACTTGGGACATAGCAGTTACGGACACACGAAAAAAGGTTTTTGCCTCCATACATTCATTGAAAAGATTACAGAATTTTTTACCACAACACACTAAACTACATTTGATCAAATCACTTGTACTACCCCACTTCAGTTACTGCAACTCATTGATCAATGACTTGACTGCGACTCAGGCGGGTATGCTCCAGCAGTCACAGAATTATTGTTTGAGATTTGTCTATGGTCTGCGACGTATGGAGCATATCACGCCATACTACCTTGAGGCACACATCCTGAAATTAAATGATCAAAGATTCATTAAAATTTTGTCATTGGTTTTTTCAATTTTGAAAACAGGCTCCCCAAAATATTTCAAATCCGATTTTAAATTTGTGTCTCAGGGTAGTTCACGAATGTCTCGTTATTCTTCGATTACATTGCGTATACCTCATCATGTGACCACAGCTTATGGCAGGGCTTTTGTTGTTACCGCTTGTCGTCTGTGGAACGGCCTACCCCTACACATTAAGACCCTTGAAAAACGTTCCCAGTTTGTGGCGGCACTGAAAAAGCTCTATTTTGAGAAGATGGTCTCGGCTGGCGTGTCCTAGGGCTACTGTTACCTTGCGCGTTTGCTGATGCGTGTATGCGAGAGTGTGTGAATGTGTTTTTCTATTTGTTAAATTTTTATGTTTTTTTTAGATATGTAGGTACTTGAATTGTTAAATATTTTATGTTTAATTAGATTAAGTTATCCCTATGTTACATTATTTATGTTATATTTTTAATGTCAGGTTAAGTGTAAGAAAGGGCCATGTGGCCCTAACTTTGCCTGAAAAAATAAAGGATTTTCATTCATTCATTCATATATAAATATATATATATATATAAATATATATATAAATATATATATATATATGAATTTGAACGGATGGTGTTTTTGGCCTCTGGGGACCTCAAAACGAAAAAGTAAATCGGTCCCGGGTCTAGGTCTTACCATGAGACCTACGGTAATAGCTTATTCCCTATATGGGAAATTCGCTAAAATAAATCTTAAAAGCTTTTTACGGTTTTAAACACTTGAAACCTGCTCAGAAGATGCTAAAGCACGTCTTTGCAAGAATGGCTTCGCATGTCCAAACATAATCTGCTAATCTTTCTTTTCTTTTCCCTTCCAGTAATTTAAACCGAAGAACATTTACCTCAGCAACCAACTTCTTCTTTTAATCCTGTCGTTCTTCATTTGAACTAAATTAAAAATACTCATGTTTTTTGCTAATGCATATTTCTATCTCTTCGTGGTGTGTTCTTTAGGGATATTCTTCCTCACTGGGTTTTCCTTCCACATTTTATCATACCATCAACATCTGCTATTTGATTTATTCAGTAATAATAAGTTTCTTTGTATTTTCAGTACGACCCAAGCAGTAGAAAACAACACAGAGCAGCCTAAATTGGTGATCTCAAGACTTTGAAGAGTCAACTAGCAAATTGATTTGCATCAAAGTTCCAAGTTCCATGTGATATTTGTATATAGTTAGCATTAGTGTTGCATTGTTTAAGCATTGTACATAGTTTTTGTACCGGCCGAGTAGTTAAGTTGTAACTTAGCTTTTACTGTAGTGGAAATAGAATCCATTTAGTTTTTAGGAACTAATTTGTGTACCTTTATTCATGTTTGCCATTAGACATATGCATGATTTAAAGATTTACAAAACAGATTACACTTAAATCTTTTATACTAAAACTTTATTTCTTGGATTTAATTTTGTAGGTTATATCTCAGAGTAATAAAACAAAAAAATTTGTTTTCTTACTCTGAGGTTATATCTTAGAAATCTTTTGTAGATTGTGACAAATGATTCATTACACTTTGTCTTTTCAACATGTTTATTTCATAACGCATAAAATTAAATTAATTTAAAAAGAAAAAAATGTTAATAAATCTCTATGTAATGACGGTGTTTCAAAAAGAGTGTTTCCTACTACTGCAATCTAATTTTGTAAAGATACTCAGAGGAAAGTCCAATGCATTATTGTTGCATATGAACTTTTATATACATTATTCAGTGCATCTATTTCAGTAAATTTTATAAATTTGTCAAACGGTCTCAGGTTTATTTAATTATTTAAGTTCTATTAGGTAATTATGCATTATTGAATGTAAATAAATAAATTCATTGAAAATAATTTAAACGTTTAAAGTTTAAACGTTTCTGGGAATAAACTGGGAAAGTGCATTTAGCTACAACTTTTCAATTGTTGAAAAGTTGTTTAGTCGAAATATGATAAATGTTTATTCTACAACAAATAAATAATTAGTGCACATCCAATAGTTTATACTTACATAAATTCTGTACTGTATAAGTAAAAATGGTAGATTATATAACTATGTGAGAAATCATACTTCAAACAATTATACAAATTTGAAAATTTATTCTAACCGTCTTTATTTAAACCATTAATCCTATTCTGTCTATTTTACAATACAATACAATACAATATTCTTTATTGTTAATTCGTCAAGAATTAAAACAGTGTCAATACAATAGTGAATTGTACATGTTAATTTTCATAAAATTCCTTTATTGAGTAGAAGGGTCTTGCGATTAGCCACTTCTTCAACTCCTGGTGTAGCTTGTTGCCAGTCAGGTCTCTCAGGTAGTCAGGTAGATGGTTCCTCAGCTTGCAGCCGGTGTATGAAGGTTTTTTCTCCCAAAGAGTTGTTCGGTGAACTGGTAGTGCAAATTTGGAGCCATGACGGGTGTTGTAGTGGTGCAGGTCTTGGTTTCTTGGGGGGTTTATTTCATTCACATACTTTATAGATTCAAGTATGTAGAGAGACACCACTGTGAGGATTCCTAGGTTTGTGAATGCTAGTCTGCAAGTCTGTGGTGGGACAAGGTTGGCGAGGGCTCTTATGGCTTTCTTTTGAAGGACAAGAATTCGATTCATATTTATTCTTCTGACGACATATATTCCAGTACTGATTTTTTTGCTTAAGTGGTTGATGTGCTCTTTCCATGTTAGTTTGTTATCAAGGATAACACCGAGAAATTTTGTGTGGTTTTCTATTGTTACATCCTCTAATTGAGGGACTATGTCTTTTTTCTTACTGAAATTCAGAGTTGTAGTTGTAGTTGATATAATCTCTTACTCAATCAAGGAAAACACCAAGTATGGTAACAATAAAACAGAAATAAGAGGATCTCCCAAATCGTTCTTTATCTCAACACTTTTATGAAATATCAGTATACGTAAAGATTGTGTCAAATAGTGTGGCAAGCGGGATAAATAAACCTTGCCCTCCACTATTAATTTTCTGTTATGTTGAACAGTTATCTAAACAATAAAAGTTGTGGGATCAATTTAATACCACTAGGGTAAAGTGGTGTGACTGTTCCTGAAGTGTTGAGAGCTTTTCCTACATCCCTCCCTACATACCATTCTAATTTAAACGATCTGTACCTACCTTATTGGTTGAACCTTGTGGTTGACTGTGTTTAGTGCATGTGGCTGCGGTTTACCCTTGCACTTAATCACTTAAGACAGCAACTTAATTTTTCACCTATTTAAGAAGGATCTACTATGTGAATATGAGTTTTGATTGAATGAGAAATTAGTTTTGCTTATTACTGACTGAGATTCGGTGGTTCTTCAATCAGGGGCAGTTCATTAGAATCCCAATAAAAGAATTATTGTCCAGTCAAGGACATCCGAGAAAAGTTTTGAACCATCAATCAAATTTTAATTTTTCTCCAAACCGACAATTGTCTAGGATAGGCGAGGATAAAATTATTATTCAGCTGCCCAGTTAAAGGGAGGCTTGGAAAAGTTTATGTACGTAGGTACTGTAACTTTTAAAATGTTCCCTATATGGAGCAAATGCTACTGTATCAGATGTTGGTAAAATGTTGACACCATAAAGAAATTTAAATTTCTACATCCAACTATTTCACCTTTAGGTGTATTGTTTCACTGATTCCGGAAAAATCTAGTAAATAAATTTTACTTTAGAGTAAAGTTCTAGTTAAGGTTACGGACGAGGCAGTTGACACTTAACAGGACACAATCTTTGGTGAGTTACAAAACTATGCGTTTTGCTGCATTTTGATTATTTTAAATCTGAGAGTGCAGGCCCGCAATTTGCATGTGATTTGGCGAGAGAGATAATTGTGCACTTCTCCACCAATCTTGTGGTGGTTTCTCTTCCTCATGCCCCAAACAAATTTAAAACCTCTTGCGCCTCCAGGCCCATTAATTTATTACAATGCCCCAGTGTGTGCATATCTATCTACCAATCATTTGTTTTAAAATAATATAAATTTTTGTTCAAAAGATGTAGGAAAACATCATAAAACATGCACAAAAATCACTGAATTATGCATGGAGTTCAATGCGTTAGAAACAAATTTACATAATTTTTAAACCTATATATAGAATACTAACACCATATAGAGGAATGAAAGGTACCAATGTGAATATTACTTAAATTATTTTTATTATCAAATGTGCAACTTTACATACGAAGTCACAAAATATCATAACTACAATACAAATATATTTACAAAATATCCTCTAAAATTACAACATACAAAATATACCCTGAATTGAAATTCAGTCACATATTTTTTTCAGACTAATCTTACTAGTAAAATCACAATAAGCTTTATGTTAAAATGCTGATAAAATAACACTGAAACACAGTACTCATATAAAGGAGTCATTTGCCTGTTGTGGCCGATTCAAACTTAGTTCATATATACCTTTTATAATAGATGGTATAAGTCTCTATGATACAGTAGATGGTTACTCTTTAATGCCTCAACATGAAGTATAGGCCAATCACTTAGCCGATTGCCAGGTGCAAGTTTTTTCTCTCTCAAAAGATTGCCATCAATATGTTTATAATTTAAAGCGTATATTTGAACTACGGAATATCAGTATCAATAATTTTGCATAGAAATTCATTTTATTACGATACACCTAAGGTTTAACTGGAAACTAGTATTGATTAGTTGTTTTTTTTTGTCTAAAATCTTTATGAATAAAGGAGTATAATTGGTTTTATCACATTCACTCATTATAGAACCTTGCTAATTCGAGGCTCGGTAATTCGAAAACCTCTAAATTTGTAATGTTTGTCCGTTCCCCTCAGAAAACCTCTAAAATAAAAAAAATAATACATCCATAATTCAAAATGGTTTTTATGCCTCTACAATTCTAATTTGCACATACTCGAGCCTCTACAATTCAAATTTTGTTGCCATAATTCGAACTGTTACCTCCAAAATTCAAAGTCAACCTCCTACAATTCGAACTGTGTACCTGCAAGCCTCTGTCATTTGAATTTAGGAGAAAAAATATGCCTCTTGAAACATGAAATGAGCTCTTATTGATGTTCCTACGATGTGTTCATTAGTATTCGTTCTCTCAAACTCTCTACACTTAAAACTGGGACCTCCATAATTTGAATTTTATTTATTCTGACCTCTATAATTCAGACTCTCTACATTACAAACTTATTATAGTTCTAAATGTATTGTCTTTCCTCTGAAATTCGAATCAGCAAGGTTCTACTGTAATTTTAGTGTCTTTTGTACAGTCCACATATACTTTTAACTCAAATTGATTAAAAGTGTAACTTAACTTAAGCCAAAACATTTACTACGGTATATTTGCATTAGGTTAAAAGCATGTTACTAACATTAATAGTCAAGCACAAAAACTTCAGATAGAAAACATAAAAAAATGTTTCTTGTTCCATGTTAGTTAACAATTTAATCAACACAACTCACATAGAAAATAACAAATGTTTTAATCTAAAAAACCTGAGCTATTGTAATACATAAACTTGAATGCAGTCTTTTCTTCAGTAAACATTACTTGAGTTGATATTTAATTTTAATTAGGGATATTTAATGTGTTACAAAATGCAAGCTGGACGCAAATAAAATATAATAGCCCTAGAGTACCTAATAAATTCAAATTCTGAATGCTAATCTATTTGAGCAATCAAATATTTTACCCTCTGTCTTTTAGGTAGTGAAAACTACTAAATTAAAATAACAGGATTTGAGGAAAATGTAGATTAGTAGAAATTACTAAAATTTATTCTTCAGCACAATTTCTTTCAACTGTTCAAGAAAGATAATTGATAAAATTATACTTTTAGGTTTGATAAATACATATAAAGTCTTAAATATAGCTATATCTTTTTTATATTAAATTAAATATTCTAATAGCATGAAACTGTTTGACTATTTTAATACCTTGCATTTAAATTTTGCATTTAAATTGAGTACCTACAAATTAACTTTTAATAAATAAGCTCAATTTTTTTCAATATACTTTTCATTACTTACTCTATAAATGCACAATTATTTTTTTCAAATACAGATTTCCTTATGCATTAATTTTATTTAACTTACAAAAACTTAACAAATATATTTGGTGAACACAACCACAAGACACTGGTACTTAAACATCACTAGTTTCCCTTTTAGTTTCTTTCTTCTGATCAACATCAGTTGGTTTTGGCGCTGGATGGTTTTCGCAAATGACAGTAGTTTGTCTGCTAGACTCAATGGGTTTTTTATTCGCAGCTATTTTAACATCTCGAGGTTCGGTTTTGACTAGATCTGCTTTCATATCCACTGAGGGTGACTCTTCCCCAGAGCTTTGTGTTTCTGTCTTCGAGGTGGGTTTGGACTGAGAAGAGCAGGGTTTCGCAGTCTCTTGATGTTTGCTGCGAGACGAGTTTGTACATGAACTTTCACACTTAGAGCTGGGACTTCTTGACTTTGTTGACCCCTGGAATACATAATAAAATACAAAGTCATAAATACATCCTTCGCTTTAAATGAGTGAATGTTAATAAAAAGTAAGCAAAAAAGATTTTATCGGACTTCAAAAAAGTCAGGCCTGTTAGTTGTTCGGTGTTATTCAAGATGCTACAGTAATTTGATGAGAAGACAAAACTCAGGACTTAAAGCTTTTAAAGTTGTTGGTATAATCCATAAATAAAATTTAAACACCAATACAAAAGCATTCAAACCAAAACCCAGCACCAAAGCGAAAGCACTTATCCACTTTTTCTTGTAAACAAAACACAAGACATGAATGAAGCAGTACTGTACCTCTATTTATTACATCATTTTGACTTTTTCTTCAATGATGTCTTTAAAATTTCGAGTTTGAAGATGTTGATGTAGCCTATGGTGATGATAATATTTTCCATAAACCAAATTGTCAAGGTATCAAACAAACGGTGTGTGATTCCCCAATATCAACACTGATAGAATCAAAATCATATGTGCTGATAAAACCGTGATTTAAAACGTGAAGTAAAATAAAAAACTTATAATTCTCTCACCTGATTCATTGAAGAATTTGATCATTGGTTAACTTAACAAAGGGCAGTTTTCTGAATCGTTATCCTGTTCATAATCCTAGAAGAGGCAGAAATCTATTTTGAGCTTTTGCAAATTGTTTCTAAGGTTGTTACTTAAGTGGTGTAATTTACAACAATTTATTCTAGACTGGTTTAAAAGAAACAAAGAAAAAGATATTTATATTCATCCTAGTTGTTTTTAAATAAAAGATTACAGGTATTACATTTTTAATTCAACAGTTTCTACTCTACTTATCATTTGTATTTACAAATTGACTTTCAATGTATCGTGTGTATGTACTTTTTAGTGTTCAAAATCTGTCTGTATTTTCGTGCTTAGCTATATTTCTGTATATTAATTCTGTGAATATTATGTAAAATGGTGCATGCTGTGTAAAGAATAAATAAATAAATGCAGTATATGATATATGGCTGAGATTAATTTTAAATTTGCTTGCACTATGAATTTAAATATAGCATAAATTTGTTAGGAGCTTATTTTTTTAAGCAAGTAAAATAAAATACATAAAAAATACAAAGAAAGGAGTCTTTTAACTCCTTTTTTTATATTGGTTCGCATCGTTATAGTAGGACACAACAGTTATAAGATTTTTGGTATATTTTTCTTGACTTTTATTTTTATTTTTTTATTTTAATAAAAATTATTTAATCACAAGGTAGAACGTATTCCTAACATTTATGCAAGTAATCACAGCCTCGTCTAATATACAGGAGGCTATGAAGTAAATGCGTTAGTGCAACCATGCAATCAAGATGCTAGATGCTAGGAAAAGATCATGCTAGACTCAACACAATCTAGCTTACACAGAGACATAACTAAAAATTAAGCTCACTATCTATAATGATCTACCCAGTGGCGGTCACAAGGGGGGAGAGGGGCTATAGGAGCCCCATTGAATCCTGGAAATAAAAGTTTTAACATATATTTTGTCATTGAAACGTAATGGAGGTTTTTGGAAAGTTGAAGACGTTAAAATGGCTTTCATAGTCATCAAACAGTTAAAAAAGCAAATTTTTCAAGGGAGGACCCCCGGACGGATCTTCTGGTGGGGAACATTCTTATCTCAACTTGTCAAGGTCCTAGAACCGCCACTAGTTCTACCCTCCACCAATGTACCGCTAAACTACACCAAAACACATGTCCACCAGAGCCCAAGTCTATTTGAAACTATTTATGGAAGTTCAAAATAATGTAAGCGTTTTGTTTCTGGAATTTGTAGAAGATCTCATATCGTATATCGGTTATGCGATAGGAAATTGCTGTATATGATATAATTTTAAGAATTCACTATGAATAAATCAATTTAATAAATATTGAATCACACACACAGAGCCGAAGAATTTGTTTTGCTGGTCACTTATTCTTTATTTTCAATTAATTATTGGTTAGGGTGAGTCATCTAAAAGACAATTGGAAATTGCAGATTTATATCTATGGTAAAAATATACCATCCATGCCATGTATTTTTTCACTGTCCTATAGTGATTTAAAATGTCCACAATATTTTTTTTAGATTATAGATCAAGAAATACATTAAACTTCACACTACAGGACAGGCAGCTATTAAATTACGTATCTATATCTAGGTACCTAATATAGTATACCTATATAGTATTTACCTACTAATAGTATGTATGTAAATTTAATACCGGTAACATAAACATGTGTGTGACTATAATGAATGAACACGAATGTTTCAGTTACAGAATACAGAAAAATATATTTTTTATCATGCAGCTATTTCACATAACGTAACGGTTATTGGAAAAAAAACATTTACTGCACCAAACTCTTAAATTCCAACTATAGGCCATCGGGTCCCGTTCCCGTATGACCAACATCTCAAATGACCGAAACTGGACTAACCACCTAACCCACCGTCTGTTAGTTAATTTAACCGACATCCTATACAACCGACAGTAACCCAACCCCTCTCCCAACTATCCTTTCATGGCCTTAGAATCCTACTAAATCCCATCTATTATCTGGAAAAAAACAAAAACAAAACCAAAATCAAATTTACCACCAAACTAAAACAATACCCTCAACAATTCCAAGTCAATACTAACAAAAACTCACCAAACTCTAATGAAAACCACAGAATCGTCAAATAAATTAGTGCACAACGAGGCTGCATATAATATAAGCCTGCTTTCAAGCAAATAAGATAAAAAATAAAAAAAAACCGACAGTATCGGCATTATGACATGTCGGTTATATGAGCCAAGAAAGAAATACAAAATGGTTAGGGTTCACTTACTCTACGAATCATTGACACAATGAGCCTCCAAATATGTAATACTTAAAACACATGGCTCACTTACTCTACAAATCATAGTCTATACGAGCTTCGTAAATAATATTGAAGGTTCACTTGCACTACAGGCTCGTATACTATACGAGCCGATCAAAAATATCAAATAAATGAAGAGGGTTCACTTACTCTACAGATCATTGTGCCTATGAGCCAAGCGTATGAATTCTTGAATAATTCAGGAATAAGCTCGTATAGTATACGAGCCAAAATACTGAATTTAAATAAATTACAGGAGTAGGCTCGTATACTATACGAGCCTATTTCATGATAACTATTACACAAATAGAAGACGGCTCACTTACTCTACAGTTCATTGGCACAATGATCTGTAGAGTAAGTGAACCCTCTACAAATATTAGAAGGCTCACTTACTCTACGGTTCATTTAGCTACTCGTCGCGCGGTTTGCAGCGCATCGTTGCAGGCGTGTATGGTAAACCAATACCGCAGTTCTGCCGTTCTGCCTTACTTCTGCCGTTTACTAGTCTTGCAACGTGAAAGAGAGCTTGTTATGTTAATGCATTGTTGAATTTTTAACTTGTGTACTCGTTGCTAGAAATCAAGCAATTATCAAGTACCGGTATTACAGGAGCTATTTTAAGAGTTATTACAGACTTAATTTTCAATTAATTAAAAAGACTCACGTAAAAGCTTGTGCAACTAATGGAATTACTTACTGTGTTATGAACATTTCTATATAATTAAAGTTGTAAATATTTTAAAATTGTTTAGAAGATTGCCTTTTTAGTGTTTTCTACAAACGTGTCTCAACTTAAACACATAGCCGCATTAATGTTAATGTGCATGTGCATTTTCGCCAATGATAATGTACCAATGTCTAAACTTTACTTTCAAATGGATTTGTTGTTAATTTTTTTTATATTTATATACATCATACATAATTTAAATGTTTTTACGTGACAAAATAACGAAATATAACAAGCTACATTACATACAATATAATTTAGGCTTGAGCTAATGGAAAACTGTAGATTTCGCATACTTGTCTTAACTTACATATTCAATTACATCCTTTGTTTACCAAACAAGATATTTACATTTATTGAAAAAATAACACTTAGACAGATCAATAATTGTAAATTACGATGACAACTGCATTTACATAACAATCATTACACAAAGAAGTATGTTTTTGTGACAAAGAGGTCAAATAGAAATTTCTTTTAGAACTATATAATTTATAAAGACCGGCCTTTTACAGTAATATGGTTTACAGTACTTATTAATTGCGCAGTTGTTAAATGCCCTTATAAACATATGGAAATTAAAAATTTAAATTATTAAATCATTTTCTTTACAAACTCATGAACAATACAAAACGTTCGCTGACCCCTCATAGGAATGAAAAGTAAAGATGATCGCAAGATCTCAAGTTCAAGTCACGTTCTCATGGGCAAAGACCTGGCTGAGAACAAGCCAGGCATAGATTGAATTTCGATTTTAATGATTAAAGTGTAAAAAGAATTGGCCTGATCTGTAGTTTTGCAAAGTGTTTTTAAATTTTTAAAATCTTTATTAGTTTGGGCAGGATTATTCATCAAAGTTAGGTTTTCTCCCATAAGATTAACATGGAGGAATCTAAATATTTAATTGGAAACTTTGTCTCCACGTTTACATGTTACAATGCATGTTAACGTCGATATTAACGTAACAGCCAATTTACAGTACTTATTTTTATTTTTGGAAATGTTAAATTGCTATGTTATTTGCATTATTTGTTGCCAATGAAGCTGCGCGACCATTTAAACAAGGAGGTCCCTAAAATTTCAAGAATAAAAGCCAACTCCACTTCAAGTACATTCCACTACACCTAACATTCCGTAGAGAGATTATATTGACAACTTTATGAAAATGATAAGGCTGAGACATCTAACTGCCATCCCCCATGTCACGCAATTCCAGCTTTAACAGTAACCTCACAACCAATTTTTCAAAACTATGCTGGAGGGTTATTTGTCGAACAGAAGTACGATAAGAACTGACGCGTTGTGACGAAGGAAAACTCCCTTTGAAGTTTCAGGTACCTATTTGACATGTCTCACATATCTAAGTTTTCGACCA